GTTTAGAGAGGGAATTTCAGTTGTCTCCCCAAAGGCAGTGAACGAAAGACGAGGGAGGGCGGAGAAGAGAAGATAAACTACCTACTCAAGCCCCTCCCCATTCACCCACGCGTCTGCTCCCGGCTCCCCTCCTCCTGCGGGGGGCTGGCGGTCAGGTGAGGTTACCTGGGCGCCGGGAGAAGCCCCGAGGGGCGCTGCGGTCCTTCTTCTCCAAGTCGCCCCACTGCCCGCCGGGTCCCCAGGACTCTGGTCCCTCTCCCCCCGCGCGCGTTCCCTGCCCTCGGGCTCGGCGCGCGGCGACAGTCGCACGCTGCGCCCGGCTCCCCTCCGCGGACCTGGCGTGACGCAGCCGGAGACTACTTAAGGGCGGAATAGAGGCGGCGGCCGCGGACTGCCGAGCCCCGCAGCCCGCTCCGCGCGCTCCGCCCCGGCCTCGCAGGCGCCAGTGCCCGGTGCCCACCCAAGCGCCAGGCGCGGGGGCCGCTGCCCCGGACCCCAACTCCCAGCGGTAAGCCACCCCCGGAGACCTCTCCCGGGCCGGCGAGAGCTCGCGGACCCGCAGGCTGCCAGCCGCGCCCGCCCCTCACCCGGGCCTCCGCAGGATCCAGACCCGACCCCGGACGGCGCCCGAGGCTCGTGCCGGCTCCTCGGACCGCGCCGGCGGCCCCATTTGTCAGGACGCACTTGGGTTTCTTTCCCTGTTTCCTCTTCTGCGTACAATAAAAGGGAGAGGGGATTGTTTTTCTTTTTTCTTTTTTTAAATTTGTTTGATTCTTTAATTGGGGGGCAATTCGCTCCCAGTCGGGAGGTGCGGCCCGGGGAGGGGCCAGGAGCGGGAACGTGCCCGGTGCTGCCCAGTCTTTGTCTGCTGCCTCCGGATGCACAGCGATGGGGGAATGGACCATCTTGGAGAGGCTACTGGAAGCCGCGGTGCAGCAGCACTCCACAATGATCGGGAGGTAAGGCGCTGAGCGGGCCTGCAGTGGGCCCGTCGGGTGGCCCCTGTGGGAGTCCCTTCTCACGTCCCAGATCCAGCCCCCAGCTCGTTCTCTGCACCCTCCCTATCGTCCTAGCTCCATGCGCCCGCCTGAGTTCCCGGCGTTGAGGGATCACCCGACGCCCCGAGATAGACCCCCTCCTCTAGCTACTCCTGATCAGCTCCCACATCCTTCCTCTGTGAATTACCACCGGGGTTCACTCTTCCCTCTTAAGAAAGAGTTGCTGGCTCAGCCTTGGTCCCCCACTCTCCAGAATCAGAGCCCATCTCCATCCTGTTCCCTAAATAGAATCTACAAGGAAGGAAGATTGTATCTGGACAGAGAAGGGCAAATGGGGAGATGGATTTGCTGTTCTGACCAGATGTATCTCTTCCCAATAAATGTTTATTAAACTAAACTGAATTGGGCGTTAAAACGTACAATTTCAGGAACCCACATATCCAATTGACACACACACGTAATCATAGATATCTACATTATATGAAGCATTAAGTTCAATATGCATGTTGAAAATAAGCCGAATACACACGTGGAGTAGTTATGTTATACACACTGTGTGTAGATCTTGAAACATGCCCTCTCTGTACAGGTATTCCGTGTGCATTTGCCACATCGGCGGTGAAGATGTGTTTGTGACCGTGTACCTTACATATAGATGGATGCAATCTATCTGTTGTAAATACACCATGCCCAGTGTATGGAGACATGTATACCTGGGATCCTTGTAATATGGCATGTTCCCAGTCTACTGGCATTCAGAAAGGGAAGAGACAAAAGCATCTTCCAGATTCAGTTCCCCACGGGGGGTGGACAGCTCCCAAGTCAGAGGACCCTGCAAAGGCGAGAGCAGGGAAGCGAGGAACAGGGGTTTCCTAAGCCAGTGACTCAGACTGTAAGAACGTCTCTCCCTTCCTCTTCCCTGCTCAGGATCCTGTTGACTGTGGTGGTGATCTTCCGGATCCTCATTGTGGCCATTGTGGGGGAGACGGTGTACGATGATGAGCAGACCATGTTTGTGTGCAACACCCTGCAGCCCGGCTGTAACCAGGCCTGCTATGACCGCGCCTTCCCCATCTCCCATATACGTTACTGGGTCTTCCAGATCATTATGGTGTGTACCCCCAGTCTCTGCTTCATCACCTACTCTGTGCACCAGTCCGCCAAACAACGAGAACGCCGCTATTCTACAGTTTTCCTAGCCCTGGACAGAGACCCCCCTGAGTCCATGGGAGGTCCTGGAGGGACTGGGGGTGGGGGCAGTGGTGGGGGCAAACGGGAAGACAAGAAGTTGCAAAATGCCATTGTCAATGGGGTGCTGCAGAACACAGAGAACACCAGCAAGGAGACAGAGCCAGATTGTCTGGAGGTCAAGGAGCTGACCCCACATCCGTCAGGGCTGCGCACTGCATCACGATCCAAGCTCCGAAGGCAGGAGGGCATCTCCCGCTTCTACATTATCCAGGTGGTGTTCCGAAATGCCCTGGAGATTGGGTTTCTGGTGGGCCAGTACTTTCTCTATGGCTTCAGTGTCCCAGGGTTGTACGAGTGTGACCGCTACCCCTGCATCAAGGAGGTGGAGTGCTACGTGTCCCGGCCCACTGAAAAGACTGTCTTTCTAGTGTTCATGTTTGCGGTGAGTGGTATCTGTGTTGTGCTCAACCTGGCTGAACTCAACCACCTGGGATGGCGCAAGATCAAGCTGGCGGTGCGAGGGGCCCAGGCCAAGAGGAAGTCGGTCTACGAGATCCGTAACAAGGACCTGCCCCGGGTCAGTGTTCCCAATTTTGGCAGGACTCAGTCCAGTGACTCTGCGTATGTGTGAAAAGTCGGATTTTGGGAAGGACTGGGCGCTGACAAATAGCCCCAAGGCATATGACTGCTCAAGGATGGCTATGTCTGCCCTCCTTTATGTGGTTCTCGCCATTCAGATGTAGGATAAGGCTGGTGAAGAGAAGATCTTGCATCAGTGGGAGAGGAGAGAAAGTAGAACCATTACCACGTGTCACACCATTGACCCTACAGAGACGACTGAATGAAATGGACTTCTTTGGCCCTCATCTTTCATGGCCCAGCCTGATCCTGACAGTGGTGGACCTACACCACTTAGTTCTGCTGAGCTCTGTATCCTAGTGAATGGTGTGAGCCAAATACTTCATTGGTACAAAATTCGTGACCTATCTCAACAAATCCCTTCATCCTGGGCTGCAGGACAAATATCCTTGAGGCGTCCTTCATGTACCTCCACCAGCATGCCTCTCTTCCTCAACCCAGGATAGCATGCCACCTTTTTCTGAGTCTGGCCTTACAGTACACCTAGCACACCTTTATCTGCCAGATAGAGGGAACTGCATGGGGTTGCTTTTTGGAGGATGGCCGTGGCAGAGCTTTGCATTAGAGCCCATCAGACTGGCCGCTAGTCATTATGAAAACCTTAGGAATGTCTCAGTATTTCCAATTTTCTAACTCAAACTGCACTGGTGCTGTTTATTAGGGGTGGGGGATGGGTGGGAGGGAGAGAATTGCAATATGGAATGACAACACTTCTGTGCGATGGTCGTGACACTGTTAGGCACGTGGTTATGAGCTTCAGGATATTGCTGCCTTCCAGCTTGTGGAGTTTGGATAGCATTAAAAGGATCTTTTCTTTCTTTCTTTGTTTTTTTAATATTGAGGGTGTCTACCCGAGCCACAGCGTTTCTAACTGGTGTATCTCACTCCTTTTCTTACAGTTTCGTTGTGTAACACCGCTGCGCTTCATTTTGCCATGGTTTGAATTTACCTGTGTGCTCACACCAGAGACCTTAATCAGCACATGTCAATCTTAATTGGCTATTTCATCAGTTGTTTTTGAAACACACACACACACTAACTGGCTTAAAAAACAAACAAAAAAAAAAAAACCTGGAAGTAAACAGTATTGGCTAAGGTGTTCACGATGCTTTTTTGCGACATATACCAAAGGTTCGGAAACCTGTTGCTTTGGACTGTGAATTTGTTTCCTTTTCTCTGCTCGTATTAATTTAAGTGCCACTCTGTACCTTTCACCTGCACTGTGTATTTAAAGCATTGGCCAAGAGTAACACTTGGATGATGTGTGTTCATGAAGCCCTGTTTCCTTTGCATTATTGTTATGATTTCTGATTTAGGTATGGACATGGTGTAACACACGACTGAGGATTTATTTAAAATAAAGTTCTTGCCTTTTTTTTTTGGTAAAGTGGGAAGAGTCTCCATTTTTCTATTTTGATTGCAGTTCTTTTTAAAATACGTGTTCAAAAATATTACAGCTAGCAGAACATTGCGGGCAGAAAGTGAACAAAGGATGAATAGCATTTAAAGTATGAACCCGTAAAACCGTTGCCGTCAAGTCGATTCCGATTCATAGTGACCCTACAGGACAGAGTAGAACTGCCCCATGGGGTTTCCAGGGAGCAGCTGGTGGATTCGAACTGCCAACCTTTTGGTTATCAGCCACGCTGTTAACCACTGTGCCCCCAGGGCTCCAAAGGGATGAACAATAAGATCCAATCAGCCATGAACAGATGACGAGAGATGGGTGCATTTTATGAATGATTAGAAGAGTGTGGTGAGATACTCAAATAGTAGCGTTTACTAACTCCTTTCCATTTTAACAAAATGTCTCTGCTTGTCTAAGGCCACTTTGTTGTAATACAGGTGTCAATGCCGTATCATATTAGCTTATTCCAGGAGCGGAATTTTATCCCTTTCCACCACCTTTTCCTGCCATGAATTATCATGTCATGAAGTATGCTGTGCTGCCCATAATCTCTTTGTGGCCTGATGTTTAAAATGATGCTAACTCAATGATCACATAGGGCCACTTAGATCAACGCTGTCCAATAGGACTTTCCGTGCTGGTGGAAATATTCTGCCGTTTGGTAACAATACGGTAACAACTAGCCACATGTGACTATGTTGTTTTGGTTGATAGCTGCCGTTGAGTCAGTTCTGATTCATGGCAACCCCATGCGTGCAGAGTAGAACTGCTCCAAAGAGTTTTCAAGGCCATTACCTTTTGAAAGCAGATCACCAGGACTATCTTCCGAGGTGCCTCTGGACAGGTTCAAACTGCCAACCTTCTAGCTAGTGGTCTAGTGCTCAACCATTTGTACCACCAAGGAAGTCCTTTATGTGACTATAAAGACCAAAAACCAAACCCGTTGCCGTTGAGTCAATTCCGACTCATAGCGACCCCATACAGCTCTTAAAACGTGACTAGTACAATGAAGAACTGAATTTCTAATGTTATTTCATTTTAATTAATTTAAATGTAAATAGCCTCGTGTGGTTAGTTGTTACTGCGTCCTACAGCCCACCTGGAGGCTTTTCATCAAGTATTTCTTACTGGGGTCTTTCAAAGACAACTGATCCTTTGCTTATGTCGTAAGACCTTATGTTTTAGCCACAACATTTTACTATCAGTTTCAGCCATTTCTGCCTCCATGTGGTCCCAGTTGAGTAGGCACAGGTTCTTCCTTAGTCTGTTCATACTGTTCATCTTCTAATTCCAATGAGCACTTGGTTTCAACATCGCAAAGCAACCGTGGAATTTCCCGGAGGATTGGTTGTTAAACACAATTGTTGCAGACTTCACGTATGGCAGGGCAGATGCTAATTTTAGTATGAAAATATGTTTATTTCCATCTATCAGTTTCTATCTGCAGTATAAATAGGTAGTGGAGGATGAGCATCCTTGAGTAAAGGCAGACCCTCCTGTGTTTGGTGTTTGGTAAGCTAAAAATGTTTTAAGACACCTCCCGGAGATGGAGGAAGAGTGTTGTTTGACAGCGGTCAGCATATGCTTGGGTGTGAAAGAAATAGCAATCTGTGTGGAAAACAAGGGCTGTTGTATTTATGCCTTGATGTAGGATTAGAAAAACAATTAGCGTTTCCTGATCGAAATGCATCCCATATCAGTGGGGCTTATCTATTTCAGTTCTTTGCCAAACATCCAAAGATGGCAAGATTATTAATTCACTTGTCAGTAACGGAGATGGAAACTCACCTCCGTCAGCATATAGAGTCATCCCTCAGAATGACAGATGTGGGTAAGCCTCAGATTCTTTTGCTTTCTATTTAATAAAAGAAGTATACTGATGGTTTGATAGTTCATGTAACTACGTGATAGATGTGACCTTAATCTACTCTGTGAGAGGACAGCGCTGATCTATTCTCTTAAGTTTAAGAGCACTTTGGTGAAATACAGGCCCTCTTGGTGTGTTGTCTGTGTATGTGTCCGCATTGGTTGGGTAATTGGAGACGGTGCATGAATTGGGTTTAAAAGTTTGGATAACAGGCTGGAGGAACTGAAGTTACTTAGCCTGGAGAAAATAAAAGCTGAGATGCTGGATTTGTTAACAGTCTTTAAATAGTTAAAGGGTTAAAAAATGTGAGGGATAGCAAATGCACCCTCTGACCACAGAGAATGGAGGACAAAGACTGGATTTAAAATAGGGGGTGGTGGAGGTGGGGTGTGGGGGTGGTTAGGAAAGCACTAGAAAGAACATGCTTTCTCTTCCACCTCTGTTTTTTCAACACTGTGTCTTCTGCCAGAAATAGCCTTCCCATCATCTCTTTCCACCGGGCTTTTTCCTCTTCACCCATAAAAATTCAGCTTAAGTGTCCCCTCATCCAGGAGCTTATTATCAACTCTCCTCCTCTGGGCCTTCGTAAAACTGTTCGTGTTGCTCTGCCTGTCGCTTGCCGCATGGAGATGAGACGTCTCTAGATAAGGGTGTGGCTTCTTGAGGGCAGTGACCGTGACTTACCCATATGTGATGTTTATTGCCCCATCACGCGTGCTGTCAGAGAGATAGGCGCCTCAGTCTTCTGTTTGGGAGCAGTCTTACAGAGTGTGTGAAGGCTAAAAAGATCTTACAAAGTCATTAAGGCAAGCCCTTTATTTTACAGATGAAGAAACTGAAATATCAAAAATCAAGATGGTGAGTTTCTTGGAAAATGGTGTAAGCATTCATCCTGGAGAATTGTGGTATTTAAGAAACAATCAGATTGATTTTACTTTCCTCATACTTTACTGAGTAGTTTTAATTCTTTAAATACTCCTGTGGTTAGGAAACCCTGGTGGTGCAGTGGGTAAGAGCTACGGCTGCTAACCAAAAAGTCAGTAGTTCGAATCCACCAGGTGCTCCTTGGAAACCCTGTGGGGCAATTCTACTCTGTCCTATAGGGTCACTATGAGTTGGAATTGACTTGACAGCAAACGGCAATGGGTTTGGTTTTTTGGTTTATGGTTAGGGGAGAGCCCTAGTGTTGAAGTGGTTAAGAGCTCAAGTTGCTAACCAAAAGGTGGGCAGTTCATATCCACCAGCTGCTCCTAGGAAACCCTATGGGGCAGTTCTACTCTGTCCTATAGGGTCATTATGAGTGGGAATTGACTCAATGGCACACAACAATAGCAACATGGTCGGGGGACTAATTATTTACTGTACAAGCAGGGACACCTTTGAGAATGAAAATAAGGGGAACTAAATGAATAGAAGGAATCCTGGTGGTGCAATGATTAAGCACTTCGCCGCTAACTGAAAGGTCAGTGGTTCGAACCCAACAGCCACTGCGTGGGAGAAAATACCTGGTGGTCTGCTCCTGTAAAGATCTCAGCCTAGGAAACCCTATGGGCAGTTCAACTCTGTTGTATAGGGTTGCTAGGAGTCAGAATCAACAAGAATAACAACAACAACTGAATGAAACACAAGGACCATGGCTGTAAAACGGATCTGTCCTGGGCAAATCAAGTGGTGTGGAGCCCTTCCATAAACAATGAACAGCTATTGAGCTTCTACTTCAGGGCCTGGAACTTAAAATACAAGAATAATAACACCTGATTCTCACTCTATGCATCGGAACCCACAGCACCCAACAAGAAGTCTCAACTCCTGAGAAAGGCTGTCAATGCAACTTGTCCAACAAATAGGTCAGAATTTAT